ACAGGAACAGAGCAATGCCTCCACACACTCCTATAATACATTTTCGATAAACATTTTAGCTCACTATGTGCAGCTGCCGATTCTTATGACTCGTTTTATGGCAGGCCTCGCTATTTATGACAACAGAACAAGACAAATTTGACAGTCATGTTTATACAGTGTAAAGTCTCTGTGCCTTTAAGGTGGGGAGACACTGGTTTAAGCTGTAGATGAGAAATTTTGCCGGTGCAGTACTACTGCTAGCATGGGGTCTTTTTAAAGGCCAACGACCAGGCTCCAGATTCTGCAAGGCAGAAGATCCTCCTCACCATAGGGGAGGAGGAAACAGGCAACGGTGGACAGGGTAGTAGAAGGGGGTAGAGGAGGAAGCGGGGAAAAGGGTGCAAAGCGCTACTGGTCGTCGATCTTTAACACAGGTGTAACACGATTGCCCCGTGTGCAGAATCCCTGTCGCAAAAGCCCCGTGTCATCAGCCCTACATTTCGAAAACTCCGCCTTCAGTTACCCTGTCCAGTACTCCCCCCCTGGCAAAAGCTCATTGTCATGGCCCCTGTCCCACCTTCTTCACACTTCAACCAGCATTGTTGCATGTCTTAAACTTATCCGTTGAGGATCTGCCAGGCTCTTTTAAGAAAGAAAAAAAAAGAAGGTTAACTTGAACCACAGAAAAACTTAAGATGACACAGGACAAGTGGCCAATTGCATAAATCTGCATAACCAGCGATGCACTGATTATGCAGATCTGTAATTGTAAACTTTATCTACAGTACCTAGATGAATAGAAATAGTTTTAGAACAACATAAGAAGAATCGAACTGGTGTTTGGTGCTGCATATACATATTAAGTATGGCGACATGAGCTGCGGGTTAACATTTTTGACAGAACCCTCAGAACTGTGAATCCGCACGAGCTTCAGAGTCGATGAAAGCTTTGGTTCAATGCTAATTCATAAAAAATACCTTTAAATATTTTTTCCAGCAACTGATATTTTTTGTTTGTTCTCACTTCTAACGTTGCAAGGCGTGAATGTGTATAGCATATGCCTGAAGAACGGGAAGCTTTGTCCAATTATTCCTTACTTGATTGCCGGGTGCGGCATTATTATGTTACACGAGCTCTTACGCCGAGGGCCCGGCCACCTGACACTGGGGATTCATTTCATGAGCTTCTGAAACCGGAGCTTTCTAAAGTGGGGCAAAAAGGTCGGGGCATTTGCAGCAGAGCATTTGACATGGGGCTTTTGACGTCAAGTGCTTTTGTGCACCACCCCCTTACCACGCATCACGCAGTAGTGATACACAACCACATGCCTCTACAATGCTCATCCAGATCGAAACGGGCAGGTCGGAATTGAACCCAGGATACCTGGGTTCTGCAATGCGAGCTTTTGCTCCACCTGCTCCGAGCTGTGGTGCCTTAACACGCTTGACCACCAATCCCCCCGCTACTGTACTAACACAACTGAACACAATATATAGATGTTGCACAGTAGACTGCTGAGAAGACAAACTAAAGATTAAGTGGTCAGACAACAATCTTAAATAGGTAAAAACAAGTTTAATACTCTGTTTTGCAAGCTCCCTCATACAGATCACTAAAGTTGCACATGCAGTTGGGTTGCTGAAACAGCATAAACATCTGTTTCAGCACATGGCTCAAGACTATAGAGCATGTATGCTCTCCTTCCATACCAGCCTACACCTATAGTACACTTTCCATTATATTCACAGAAAGAGAAGACCCAGCAACTCTTGCCAGAAACTTTCTAAAACACTTTGGTGCAGTAAATACTATACCTAAAAGATGAATGCTCTGTCTTTTTCAGGCTTACATTAAGTTTGCCTGTTTCTGTGATGGACAGTTTCTATAAATACTCCTGCTTCATTAGAAGGGGCTGTAATCCTATGCCCCTCCTCAGGGGTGGTGGTACTATTTGGGATAGGGGGCAAGTCTAGGGAGGGGGTCAACTGTGAGCCGTTGCTTCTCCCCCCCCCCCCTTGTTCAAATGCCACTGTCTTTCCTACTGCTATGTAAGTTCAGAAGCAACTGCTAGCAAAACCACAATCTAATCAGGCTCTGAAAAAAAACAAAAGCAGCTTTTTATGCCCTACTTGGCAGATGCTTGCCAGTGAGGCTTACTTTTGACTGTTCTAATGCTAACTGAACAAATATGAAGTCTAAAACAATAGCAAGCAATCAAAGCAAGATTTTTAACAAACAGATGAATGAATGCATGATTTCTAAAGCAACCAATTCAATAACATGTGATAAACACTGTACAAAATATATCTCAACAAAAATATTACAACAAAACTAGGTTTGCACATCATGACGAAAGTATGAAGCCATACCACAAACAATAACTGGTTATGGCAGCAAATGAAAGTGAATATTAACAAAATGATATAATGTAGACATTTGTAATTTGATCCATAAAGTATACATGGCTTGCACATGACGTCAGTCCGCCCTTCTTTCTGGCTAATGCAGCGGAAGCTACGCTCTCCGGTGCCCTTTCCCACAAGTCCGCCCTTCTTTCTGGTGGCCAGAAAAGTCTCATAAATGCAGCAGAAGCTGGTTAACACAACAGAAGCTGCATCAATTGTTCAAATTACTAATTAACAAAAGCATTAAAAGTACCTATTTTTGCTTTTATATTGTATAAACATAGATAATCAATTTATAAAATACAAAATAAACTACTTTCTTAGTTATATGGTTCCCGAAATTCAAAATCTTTGTTTAAAAGCCGGGCAACACTGTCCATAAATCGAACTTCGTAGAAAATTTGAAAGTTCGTCAAACCTGTCAAACCTTGAGATTCGAAAAAAAATTCGCGACACCCCTAGTTCCTATTAGTTTTTGACAGCAAACCATGAATCTACCCTAACACACTTCAAATAGTGGTACAGTAGAAAACCCATTCTTTATTGATGATTATATAAGTGATGTCTGAAAGTCGTTAAGCATTTTCAGTCACTGTAATTTGACCCTGTCAAAGCTGTAAGGAACCTAGTCTGAATTTGTTTTAGCAGGGAATGAAAGCTGTGAGCATGAGTTGATAGCTCTGTTACAAGATTTCCACCATGGGTGTAATTGTGCATTGGGGGACCCTTACACTTAGACTGCAGCAAAAAGTGTAGCACACTTGAATTCCAATCAGCATGTCAGAGAAAGCAGAATGATTTACAAGCAGTTTTCTTGGACTGTTTTTTCTTATTCTGCTTGTGACATTGTTTCCAAAAGTCGAAAGCTGGCAAACTTAAGAGGCTATTAGTATGGTGCTCAGCTTACTAGTATAAGGTATGCCAGTGTTTCTTGCTAGTCCCTCTAAGTCAAAGTATCACTATATCAAAGTATCACTATATTAGTATCGTAATCATTTTAAATTACTGTCGGAAGAAGTATCTAGGTACACGTCTTAGCTGCATTTTTGCATGACTCTTTTCTGTAACTGCATCTACTGCAAGCATGCACTCATAGCTTTGGTAGGTGCCCATCCTTCTGCAGCTTTCTACCTTTCAACGCAAGACACTTGCACTATTGGGGAGGAGATTGAACAGTCACATTTCTAGTGGTACGCTTCAGCTGTGGGGACAACAAACCAAATTTTCTTGTTTGTTTTTGATCAGAGAAATTGAAGATGACGATTCGAAGGCCATTCCACGTGCGACCAAAGCACTGATCAGAGCCAAGCGCTTGTTCCTAGAACGTCCTAGGCAAGGTTCAATTTCTTTGTTATGCTGTGTCAGTAAACACCAGACTGTGGGCACAAGCTCGATAAAGCGCCCCCTATACATAGTTCGATCTCTTGCCCAACAGCCACAGTACTACGACCGGCCATGAAGTAAAAGAAAGTGTAGAAAGCTGTAACCTTGTGCTTGCAGCTTTTTAAAAATTTAGAAATAGAAATCAGTACTGCAAATGCCGTATTCTCAGTATATACAGCACTGATAAAGCCCAGAAAGTAACCGTTGAGTCGGTTTTATCAAAATCAAAAGGCTACAGATTGAAAAGCAGATTGCAAGTGCAAAAACAAAAAAAGAAAAGCTGGCGAAAAGGCCCGCAAAGATTTGCGACATCACTAAGTGTTTCTGGAGGAACTCTGGAAGAGGCCCATTTTTCTAGAGGCCACTTATATGCATTAGTCGCAAGATACCAAACTGAATTAAATGTCATAAATGACCTTATTGAAGTTATCATCCACAATTCAGTATCCCCCTTGCACTGCAGCACAGTTGTGTGCAACCTGTTCTCCTTGCTAAGGCTGTCTTATAATATCAGGGCCTTATAGATCATAGAGATCTTATTTGCCAGTCCATCGACAAGCTTTCTATTACACCTCAAGATATACTTACTACCTTCAGTTATTGACGAACATTCCAAGTGGCACAAGCTCCCCGTTTCTCCATATCATGAATCCACTGATGATAGCATTTTGCAATGAAGAAATTGCACATAATATACATGTAGAGATCCCCTAAGGAATATCTAAGATGTGCACGACTTGAAACACAAAAATTGCTTCACATATGTGTAAACTCTGCATCTCCTCAAAGTCATTAGTACCTTCTAGATGGAACATACAGCTCAGTAGATTGATTTATAAACAAACAAAAAGCCCCCTGCACGCACAGCGAAACTCGCCCTGAACATTGTACATGACTCGCAGTGGATGTAAAGGTCTGCACAATGAATGCGACTTCCAGATTGTGTGAACTAGGTCAGGTCCAGGAATGCCAAACCGAAAGCACATAAGCCGGCTGAGATCAGTTGTATGTGAATTGGTATTTCCTTTATGCGGCTCATTCAGGTTGGCAGTCCTGTTTGAGTTCCCCAATGTTGTGGGGGGTTCCCATTCTGTGGAGGGAGGGAAGAGCATGACAAAACCATGCACCTGACAGGCACTCAATGAGAAAAAAGCTGGCATCCAATCTATATTTCGTGTGGTCTATGCATGGCAGTGTCTTCCTCTGCAACACAAACCAAGTCTAATGCATTTCTTTTTGTATGAACAAGGCTTGCATGCTTGCTTTCTCAGATCGCATGCAGGGAGCCAATCATGGTGGTTGACCAAAGAATATGATGAAATAAAAGGGAACAGACAGCACTTGAAACTCAGAACAAAGGCCTGTACTGGAATAGTGAGCATGATGTTGATATACTACCATAGTTAGTTTCCGGTGTATAGGTCACATTTCTTTTTACAAAATTTCCGGCAGGGTATTTTATACAGTGGTGTTACTTGTGTTTTCTTCTATAAGCATGGGACGTAATTGTACAAGTTTACCACAGGGGTTATATTCTTTGTTCGATTCATTTGCAAGAATATTGAAACTGGTTTCCACTTCTGCATATATGCATATGTCATAATCACAATATCTAGATGCGAGCTTATCAATGCAGTTGCGCCGCGCCTGGCGTACAAATATACAAGTGCACCTTATATAAAGGTGCGCCTTCTAGACCGTAAATTACAATACCCAAAATCCCAGTTAGATATCTTAGGAACAGATGCGATTTGTGCTTTATTATTCGCAAGCCTCATTTCATAAATCGGAATGACAGGCTGTTGAAAGCAGATCTGTATAAATAGGATTCTGTGTTTTCGGAGTTAACTTTTTTTTTTTACGAGTTAATATCTTCTTACAGATTCAGTGTTTTTTGTGTAAATTGGTTTAAGTCATAACCAATTTACACAAAAAACACCAAACCAAAGGAAAAAATTAAACCCTGAAAAAAAAAAAAATTACCCCAAATTCGAGAAAAAAATAAACACAGAAAACACGGAACCATATGTATAGGGTTCTGTTCATAAAATCGTCACATCAGGTTCAAATAAATAGGATAACTCCATGACAAGTGGAAAAGAGCTTAGCAACACTTGTGGGATAGACTTGCATTCTATTTAAGTTCACTATGAGGTTCCTTTTTCTCTTACATACTAGTCTACACAGTAGAAAGGCAATCATCTATATCATGTTTTGTTTCATGCTGATATCCCAATCTGAGTACCAATACAACTAGAAATAGCCTGACAATAGCTCGGATGAAAGACCAATGACTGCAGGTTTCAACATTCCTTTGATTCTAGATGATAGCACCAGCCTAACACAAGACAAGTTGGGCTAGATTCTGCTGTGCTCAAAAGACCATTTGTTAAATCCCCCAAGTGCCCCGACTTGCACTCGAGAAATCATGGGAACGGTATTCCTTCGGTTTCCTAGTGATTGCTAATTTCGACCAATTCCGTGGTTACACAGTTGTGAATGTAATTTCAGAGTCGCCCTGAACAAGCGTCGTATAGAGTCAAAGGACCTGTCATATCACCTGTAAAATTTCTCGTCAATGTCAGCGTTTTCGATACTCTGCATGCGATCCAACTTTCAACTTGGCTGAGCTGCAGAAATCTCTTACAATATTATCATTCTCGTGATTGTTGTTTTAGCAGGAATTGCATACAAAGCTGAGAATTCACAATAACCAAAACCAGGATTTAGCTCGGAGTCAGCAGGGCTGTTTATAGTATTTCTAACTTAATATCAGCATCTTTGAAGTTGTACGAGAATGATAATAATGTAAAAGATTTCTGCAGCTCAGCCAGTCAGCCAGGTTGAAGGGTGGTCAGCAAGCTTAAAAGCGAAAACGCAGACATTGACGAGAAATTTTAAAAGTGATATGACAGGTCCTTGGGCTCTATTCGCGACTCCAGCAAACTATAAAGGGCGCACTGGTCAGGCAAAACAGTGGACGAAAGAAGGTCGTTTTCGTCGTTCAGCACATGGACCGCCATATATTTCTTTCACTGCAGCGTAGAATCGGTGTTACATATGAAAGCAAAGCGATTTTTCGACCGTAGAAACCCTTTTCTAGTCACTGCGTAGAAATGACATGGCGGAAGCATAAAAATAATTACTGAAAACAATGTTTGTTTCTATGCTGCCTACGGGAACTATGCAGCGATAGCAGACGACAAAGTCGAAACGACCTCCTCTCCTGAGCTTCTCGGAGTTACCGCTATGTGGTGTCGGTTTCACTGGAGTTTCCAATACGACGCTTGTTCAGGATGACTCCGAATTACACTCAAAACTGTGTAACCATGGAATTTTACCAATGAGTAGGGAGCCGACATATTATTGCTCCAAAAGAAAGTTTTACGTTATATTATAGATGTTTCTTATTATGACCACACAAAACCATTATTTTTCAGATTTCGAATACTTCATATAGAATCTATGTACAAGTACCGTTTGCTTTATACAGTTTGTTTTTCCTCTCCAGCTCTTGTAGAATTTTTGTATGCAATTTCAAATCTTAAAAGGCATGAATGTGTTGTTAGCATGCGTCACACAGATTCATGGATCCTCCGCCATCTCATACAAATTATAACTTCCAGTCCTTACATAATAATATACAGTTAAACAAGTGTATCGCAAACAATATAAATAAAAACAAAAAAAGTAAGAGAGCCCTTTGTTTGTACTTTTTTAGCAGTGTATAACTTTTATGTGTTCTTGATTTGTTGCTGCTGCCAATGTAAAGTGAAGCTGTTTTTAATAGCTTTTTGTATGGGCTTTCCCGCCAGAGTTTCTGGAAATAAACTTGATTTGATTGATTGAAGGAACACCGTTCCCATGATTCCTTGAGTGCAGGCTGGGGCGCCTGGGGGATTTAGCAAATGGTCTATTGTATGAGCTTGTATCAAAAAACATGAAATGCTGCTTTTGTGTTAATGTCAATTGTACTATTCCCAGGTTTGTTCAAAAGAGGCCTCCCTTATCTTCTCAGCAACTAAAGAGGACAGTAAAAAGATGACAGCTTTTCATTAAAAAATTTGTAAGTGTGAGCAAGATGCACTCGCATTGCAGATGCAATATGTACAAAATTTTCATGCAAAATAGCTTCATAACAAAGCAGAGTGACTATTTGGTTCTGCAAAACCAAACGGAAGTTCTGCTCCTTTTCACATGCATCTTCATCTCTATTAATAACTTGTATCAGTGAACATCAAATTGAAAGCTTAAACAGATGGAACATAAAACCTAGAATCCATGCTAGCAGCTGAATGATGCTTCTGCTTGTAAACAAGCATAAAAAATTAAAAGGGAAAGAAAAGGAAGGCCTTAGAAGGCACAATGAGAACATTATTCGTGCAGTTGAGAATGGATGTTCTGGCAGTTGCATATGCATGCTGGTGCATGCAGAGCAGCAAGAACTTGCCTTGCTGATATCACCTGTTAGCGGGTGACTTCACACTGTCTTCTAAACTCCTTGGAGGATTCACTAATATAAGCTGACTCTCCTGTAAGAAAAAAAATACATACCATACAGCATTGAGAAATAGCACTAGCTAGGTGGCACAAATTATTATAGGAGCAGTATTTTTGGTAGTGCTTTCTTGGGTGAATATAAACTACTACATCAAAGCAGAGACATATTTCCAAGTTTCTGACCACAGTGGTCTTGCTGAAAATGAGAAGCTCGATGGTATGGAAATAGATCAGCACAAGCTTGCTGTGACCACCTATTCAGCGGAATTGTTGAACTTTGCTTTCTTAATAAAGAGTAATCAATTGGTTTGACTTTGTGAATAACCAAGATGTCCTTTAGCTTTCTGTGTGCTCAACAAGCAAGCTACCTGCAAGAGCTAGGAGCACATACCTGAAGGATCGATTTCACAATTACCCTTCACGAGAAATGAAACATAAGGTCCTCCCCATTGCACAAGAACACTGGGCCCTCTTTTAGAGCTATCAGCCCGCACTGGAAGGGTTCGCTAGAATGATGAATGGGACAAAGGCAAACTACACGCTTTCATGGCAGTGAAAGAAATAATGGCAGGAAAGGGTTAATAATGAACCCTTCTGTCAACGTCAGTGCTGCCAGTGAGCTCCTCAGGAATTGTGGCATTCTCGTGGTCCTATCATCCTCTAGCCAAGACAGTGTGGAAGGAGGAAGGGGGAGAGGGAAGAAGAAAGGTTTGCGTGGCTGCGTTTGAGGGTGCTGTAAAGTAGCAGCAGACGACGTAGCAGCTCCCATATGACCAGCTTACATCCAAGATTTTTAGCATGCCTTGCACGCGCCGCACATGGGCGAGCACTGCAACTGTCTTTAGAAAAACCACTTAGTGGTCTTAGAACTTCGACAGCTTCTGCAATAGTAAACTTCGTAATCACAAGCGGCACTGATCCGTGTAGAAGAAAACACAAAATCTTCAAAAATCTCAGTACTCTTTTTTTCTTTTTTACAGCGGATGTAGCACTTTTTATATGCCGTTTCAATTGTTGCCAAATAATATGACTCCTAGATCTCAACTATGCATGGTGTTTCTAATCGTCCATCTTTTCAACAGGTTTGTCGAGTTTCACGAAAGAGCAGATGTATATAGCGACTTTCTCTACGGTGGCTTCTCAGAACCCACATCCATCCGTTTGGTTCTCCGAGCGATACGATTGGTTGATTCCCAACGTCGGCAGCATGCCTCTGGTGCTTCAACCTTTCCCCGGAGAAGACTTTCCCGTAGTGTGACGAAAAAATCCCAGACCAGGCAATCCAAGGATTGTCAAGGGTGGACAGATCAAGGCAGAGTAGGCAGCTACCTAGGGCAGCAAAAGTTTGAGGGCAGCTGCCCCCAAATTAATTGGCTTTTTTTTTTTAATAAAATCTAGCTCAGAATATAGCTACTTTGGGAATTCTAACTCAAAATCTAGCTGTAATAGCAAGAAAGCACAAAACAAACAGATGGACGAAAACAGACATGTCTGTTTTCGTCCATCTGTTTGTTTTGTGCTTTCTTACTGTTACATCTGTCCCAACACGCTCGTCAAAGTCCTAAATCTAGCTACTTTGAAAATATTATTTCCCCCCCCCCCCCCCCCGACTCCTCATGGTCACTGGCCATGGGGAAGCGTGAGTTGCAAGAGTGGTTGGTAGCAGTTTCAAAGGCTGCATAGGGCAACAAAATGCTAAGTTTGCCTCTGAAGACTGTAGCACTACTCTGCAAAAGGGTCCATTCTTCCCGTGATTCACTTCACGGCGTCAGCTCCTAAATGGATTGACCCGGTGGCAAGCAAAAAAAGGAACCCACTGTGCGTGTGCCGAGGCCCCCGGCGAAGCTCAGCTGGGCTCTGTGGAACTCTGCCTCTTGAGCACCCTGACGAGTGTCCGCTCCCTCACGGGGTTCAGCCAGTCCGAGTGCTTGGCCATGCACTCCAGGGAGGAGCGGCACTTTTCGTTGAAGATGTAATGAACAAAGCGGTCCAGCTGCTTCGGCAGTTTGAACGCCTTCCCCTTGGAGAACAGGCAGGTGGGCACCTTAGTGTCGGATGTTCCGTTCATAATCACCTGACGTGGGACAAGAGCGAAAGAGTATGTCAGGGGTTGCTCCAGTTGACGCGACAGAAGGAAACAAACTTCTTCTTTCGAAGATCGGAGCGTAAGGACAGCTGTGCAATTTTAAGGCATGGGTTCACAAACTGCCTTCCTAGGGGTTCTCCAGAGTACCCTCATTGGTTTTCTGCACCCCCAAGTTTCCTCAACAATCCCTGCCCCTAAGTAAACTTTCGTTCAGCTTCAGCTCTATTTTACCAGATCTGAGCCACCCATTGAAACATGACTATGAGCCAAACACTACTTCGTATGTTTCTTAGTGTTTACGGGTCTGTACACTCTGGCACTGCTTTATTTCGTCAATGCTGAGACTGGTAAAGGGTACCTCAGCTGCTGTTTAAAGAGACCATGAAGGCAATTTAATTTTTTTTTAAAAAGAAGGTGTTCTCGGAAGCATTGGGGTCCTGGCATGCCACACAATTTTTTCTAGAACGTTGTGACTCTTATTTCTGTACCTGCAAATAAGTTTGTGAAACCGAAACAAACATTCAGATTTTTTCCCTTTTTCGCCTCTGGAAAGAGAAGTGACGTCAGGAAGCACTGTCGGCATCGGTAGGATTTAGTGCACACTCAGTGTGGGTCCCGCGGTTCGCTCTAGTGCACGGCGATCTGTGAAGAAAACCTGGAAGAAATGGTTGACAACGCCGCGCTCAGTCTTCTGGTCGGAAATGCAACGAACAAATCCTGACACCGCTGTCCACAGCTCTATGCAAATCGACGGCGCGCAACCAAATGCTGCGCATTGCTGCATCGGTCGGCAGTTTATGCGAACTAACGTCGCCCGATCGACCGCACGTCTTTAGCCGACCTTTCGCGCAACCTACTACTCCACATAAACGCGGCATAATTGGTGAGACACGAGTTCGCAAAGCGAACACGAGACGACACAAGCAACCAAAACCAAAAGTCCGCCGCCCCCAGCGCTCGTACCTCTTTTTCTTTTTTTTTTTTTGTCCATGGTTGCTCGATGCTTGTTACGCGCCCGAGGTAGCAGTGCGGGATGCGTTCAACCAGTGACAAACGGAGGGATCGCTTCAGATTATGCTTTTATACACGGTATGAAGCCTTTTAATTCCCAACTACAACTTCAAAAGATTATCCAACGTTCAAATAAACTTTCTTCATCACATCTCACCACCGAAATCGAAACCAAGAGCGCGTCTATCGTTTGAACCAATCGCCAGACGAGGAGCCCGTTGTCGTCACGCTTCGGCGGCGCACTTTAGTTCACCTTTCTGCCGCCGCCTCGGTGGGGTCTCAGGCATTGTTCCCGGCGCTATTATTACCGCGCCTGTTTGCTCGATTGGTGCGGCACCCAAACTTCTGTTCGGGCTAGAACTTGGTCAACAGTATCGGAGACGTGCCTGACATCCATTTCAATCGTCGAATAAAACTTCGATACTGCCTTCATGGTCCCTTTAAAAGGCAGATACAGGTTGCTCAAGATTGAAAAGTTTGAGAACTATTGCATTAGTGAGTTTTAAAATAGCGTACCTAAAAGCTTTGCATACCCAATGAAACAGTGCCGCGTGCGTTGCCGAGCGAGTGTGTGGCCTAATGGTTATCGTGCTTGGTTATCATGTGGAGGCTCCGGGTTAGATTCCACTGAGCGGATTCCTCTTTTATTTATTCTTTCAACTCCAACATTCTCGTAAGTTTGAAAACCTTCTCGTCTGATCAAGTTACGAATGTTCTACGCGCCGAATGTTCTACGCCAAATGTTCAAGAAACCCACACGGGTACAAAAGGTGTACAAAAGGACTCACTCCAGACCGCCACGCGTGGCGGTCTGGAGTGAGTCTTGCCCCAGCGCCTGGTCCTGCTGTTTTGCCAACATCAACACCTGCGATGCTAGCCTTTCTCTATTTTGTTTTGGGCACAAGTTCGCCCCGTAAAATGTTTAGTTCCTTCAGTTATTCGCCGCCTCATCATTTGTCCTTCGTGACATTTTGGTGGAGGTGCGTGGTATTGCATTCTATGCCCGCAAAGCGTACCCCTCCGAAGGCATCCCGGCCAAGCAACGTGCCCGGAACGCTACCCTTCGCCGAAGACGCTGAAGCCCGAAAAGCCGTCGTACCAGAGGTCAGTCCCCCGAACTTGGTCCCTCGCTTGAGAAATGGAATAAGATTCCGACCATGACCACCCTGCCCGTCGTCGTCCTGCCCGTTGCTCCACGGACACCTCCTCCCTTCCTCGGCAAGATTTATGAGGACGTTGAAGACTGGATCAACCAGTATGAACGCCTGGCTTGCCACAACGAGTGGAGTGACGAACAGCGCCTGCAAAACCTCTATTTCTCACTAGAAGGGACTGCAAGGCACTGGTTTAAAAACCATGAAGCTTCCTTGATCTCGTGGGACATTTGCAAGAACGAGCTCATGCATACATTCGCCAGTCAACACAGTAGAGAGAGACCGAAGACCTGCTGCAATCGGAGAACCAGGGCCCCTATGAGAGCGTCACAAGCTTTGTGGGAGACGCCCTTCGTCCGAGTTCCCGTGCCGACCGCTAGGCCACCGAGGAAAAGAAGCTGCATATTTTGATGCGCGGCGTAAAGGACGACATTTTTGGTGGACTCGTACGAAACCCACCGACGACCGCAAGGATTTGACATGGAGGCGACGAACATCGAGCGCGCTCTGCAAGCCCGAGCCAGCCACTACCAGAGGCAACCTGGCGTCGGCGCGGTTCCGCAGTCCCCTTGCGACCTTGCCCACAGCATTCCGGGCATTCGAGAGCTTATTCGCGACGTCATCCGGGAGGAGTTTAACCAGCTTCTGCCGACTGCTGAGCGCCCGGCCTCAATCTCCATTGCCAAGGTTGTTCGGGACGAGGTTCAGCGAGCATTTCTTCCGGATGCCCCTGTCACCGTGGATGAGCCGACGCTGACCTACGCTGCAGTGGCCCGAAAACTGCCGCAAGCTGCTCAACATTACCTGGTGGTGCCACGACAAGACTCACAAATGCAGGCGTACCCCTGACGCAGGATATCAGTACGACTGCCGAGACCAGCCGGCGCCAAGGAAAACTGACAGGTGGAGGACAGCGAATCGACGACCGATCTGCTATCACTGCGGTGAAGCCGACCGCATTTACTGTCGATACCCCTACCGAAAACTGGGGCTGCGTGGGTTCCACCCAAACGACCCACACTTGAGGTAAGGCGAATGCCCTTGCGACATCGTGGAGTACCTCCGACGCTCGCCCTCCTCAACGCAGTCTCTCCGCCATGAATTCCGCTCCCCATCACCACGACTTTCAGCGTCCCCAGTGCCACGACACTGCCGAAAGAGCCCGTCTCCCCTGCGTTGCCGGGAAAACTAAGTGCAACAACGCCTGGAGGTGACTTTGCCGAAGACGACCGAAGTAAAAAACCTTGAAGAATGCCGGAGCACTCCCACTTTCCCGACGCCATGCATTGCATTGACACCTCTGCAACGGTGCCCAACAACCTAAACGTTGTTATCGACGGCCACAAAGCATCGGCACTCGTGGACACTGGAGCAGACTACTCAGTCTTGAGTGGGAGACTCTCTCGCCGCCTTTGAAAAGTCACGACGCCGTGGGATGGACCTCAAATACAAACTGCCGGGGGATACCTCATTACACCAGTCGGGAGATGCACTTCTCGCATCGAGATCCACGGTGAGACGTGCTCTGTGAAGTTCGTTGCTCTGCAAGACTGTGCGAGGAACGTCATTATCAATATGGACTTCTTGTGCGAATACGGTGCCGTCATCGACCTGGGAGCGAACAGATTGACGCTCCAAAATCCTGCCCTACTGCCAGAGGAGCCCAGAGCGACATCACCTGCAGTCCGAGTTCTCGCCGATCATGTAAACCTGCCGCCACGATCATCTGTTTTTGTATTCGTCGGGAGTGATGAAACTTCCTGTATCGAAGCTCTGCTTGAGGGCAGAGTCCAGTTGCTTCTAGGAAGAGAAATCGGCGTCGCAAGAGGGGTAACGAATCTTCAGGACGGGCGTATTATGGTCCTCGTTACACCTTACGAAAGGTACCGCCGTAGGCCACATCGAGAAACTCCAGAACTCCGCCGAAATTGCTCCGATTACTGAAGAGTCCCCTTCACCTGAGTAAGACAGTACCTCGCCAGTGCAGCTCGACATCAACCCTAAGCTTCCAGACCCGAAATGACGGCAGCTGATTAAACTCCTTGCCCAATACACCGGCTGCTTTGCGACATCGTCAAAGGTATGCCAAACCGTTGTTGCGAAGCACCGCACCGTTACCGAGGACGACGAACGCCCTGTGCATCAATCACTGTACAGAGTCTCCATAAAACAAAGGAAGGTAATCCAGGAGCAAGTTCCAGAGATGCTGAATGACGACATAATCCAACCTTCAAGCAGTCCATGGGTCTCTCCGGTCGTACTGGTTAAGAAGAAGGACGGAACACTTAGGTTCTGTGTAGACTACTGGCAGCTAATGCGGTGATGAAGAAAGACGTCTATTCACTCCCCCGCATCAACGACACGTTAGACCGGCTGTACGACTCTCGATACTTCTCATCAATGGACCTGAAGAGCAGCTACTGGCAGATCGAAGTCAACGAACGGGACCGAGAGAAGACAGCTTTCGTCATGCCAGATGGGCTGTGTGAGTTCAAGGTGATGCCCTTCAGACTACGCACGGCGCCAGCAACTTTCCAACGTGTCATGGACACCGTACTGGCAGGACTGAAGTGGCAGAGCTGCCTCGTCTACCTTGACGACGTCGTAGTGTTTTTCGGCGACTTTAAAGAGCACTTGCGATGGCTCCGAGCTGTTCTCCAAGCCATACGGACCGCCGGACTCACCCTCAAGCCGTCACAGTGTCGGTTCGCCTATGACGAACTGAAGTTCCTAGGACGCGCGGTTAGTAACAAAGGCGTTTGCCCAGACCCAGAGAAGACTCTCGCCGTCGGAGCATTTCCACCGCCAACAGACAAGAAGGCC